GCGAACCAAGGTCACATGACTGCCAACTCTCATTGCTGCCGAGCGTAGCTCGGCAGCACACTAATCTCTACACGTGGTGTGCTTACCACGTGACCGCCGAGTTTATAGCCTCTACAATCTCGATTTATGTCATTCTGTCATCCACGGACGGGCCAAAACTAGCTGTTTTGATATTATTTTTTGTTCCCGGGGGGGTTTGTTCACAACATGGCGACTGTTATAAACGGACAGAAATATAAAAATCATAAAATAATGCGAATTTCCATAAAAATTCCGAGTAATATTTGTGAAGATGAATGGGTAAATAAAGCACGGTGTTATTTTGTGTCTCTGGCGCAAGAATGATCGACAATATTTGAATAATTCAGGTAAGGATGGCTTTATTTCGTTCTCATATAGTGATGTAGTCGTGCCGTGTGCCCTGTCTACCTGTCTGGTGATATATTTTATAATACATGAAGGCATTTATATTTAAATCTGCTGTTTATACTTGTTTAGTCACTTTAGTGTATTAAACTTCGATATAGAGGCATTGAAACAAAATGATTTCAAGAATATATCGGCAATTATAATACCCACTGAATCACTATTCCCGACCAAATCGACAGTAATGATTAATGCCTTTATGCTGATACAAGAAGCAAATGAACTTTTAGTTTATTTGTTTGTTATGTCACTTAATATGTGCAAAGCCAAAGGCGGTGAGTATATAATAGTGTTCGGTACGTTCTATTTCTAAATGTTTATAGTTTAAAAACAAACGCGGGATGTTGTTAAATCAGGCTTAACAAGATTCCTAGAGCTACCCAGTGTGGATTGTTGTCTGCATATATGGACTTATCAGCAATTACATGTAATATAGCATATCAACTGACTTTTGTATAAGATATGACTTGTATAAGGCCTCAGTTATATATAAAGCCTATAAACATGATTCTACTGACATACATTGATATATACAATTATACATATGGCTGTGTTACCACAATAATGCTCACAACTTCAACTTCTTTCTAACAATATAGTTTTGCAGTTCTGACTGTTCTGAGTATGATCTTATTCATTCAGAAATATAAGCATTGCACTGTATTCAATGGCAAGCTATCCTGGATTCCAGAGCCTTCAGTTAATAATAAATTGAAATATCGTGAAGGCTCTGGTTCAACGGGAGGATTCTTTGATTAAACTGTGCCAATCACAAAACAGAATTAGCAGTTTTAGTACAGATTTTGGGCGTGTTAACCCATTAAGCGCCAGCGCTCTCCCCTTGACGAGTAAAATCGTCTGGCGTTAGACAGAGTAAAATACTCTGGCGTTAGACAGAGTAAAATACTAAAGTAGGGTGCATCAGGGTGCAATGCGACCCAATGGGTTAACTAGACACATGGGCAGATAGATCAGTTAACCCATTAAGCGCCACCACTCTCCCCTTGACAAGTAAAATCGTCTGGCGTTAGACAGAGTAAAATACTGTTCAAAGTAGGGTGCATCAGGGTGCAATGCGACCCAATGGGTTAACTAGACACATGGGCAGATAGATCAGTTAACCATTAAGCGCCAGCACTCTCCCCTTGACGAGTAAAATCGTCTGGCGTTAGACAGAGTAAAATACTGTTCAAAGTAGGGTGCATCAGGGTGCAATGCGACTCAATGGGTTAATATAGTACATAACATAGGTCATAGACATACAGTTTCAATACAATACAAAATGATTTTGAACAACGTCAAGGTCAATGAAATCATACAAAATGAATTTATGGAATATCAATTAAATGTATTTAAAACAAACATAATTTCAACATCCCAATAAGCAATAACATCCCAGTAAGTATAAATTCAACTATTTTAAATCAATTGTTTGAATAGCCAAATTAAAAGTTGTATGAGTGTCAAAATCATTCAATAATATTCACATTTTATCATTTGTATTATGTGTCAACTATCAAAGTCGCACTGTTAAGTATATTAAAATATACTTTTCATAATATTAGATGTAAGATATAATTGTACGAAGGTAACTGAGGAACGACGATGTGTAAGACAATAAATCATACATACAGTGAAAAACGCTCTTTTTGTAGCACACCCTACATGTACATATCGGCAGCATTTTCCTTGCGATAGTAACTCCTAGTCATAGTTAATAAAATAGATGGTTTGGAAACTCATTAGAATAACAACATAACTCATTATCTATGTTAGTCAACGTTTATTCATAAACATAGTCGTTCACCGTCACGTGTGTATTGTGTTCTTGCCAAGTCCACCAATAGCAATTTTCAATTTACCCTATTGTTCGAGTCATGGATAGGTAACTTTCCTAAAACATTCCTGTTGGTTAGTTGGGCAAAAATACAATACGCACGTGACGGTGAACGACCAGATTTACAGTATGAATAAACGTTGACTAACATAGATCATTAATGAGTTATATTGTTATTCTAATGAGTTTCCAAACCATCTATTTTATTAACTATGCTCTCATGCACTCGTTTAATCCAAGCTTTACTGAAAAAGTTCAATATTTAACAAATATAAAACATTTTCCGTGTTGATATACAGTAATATCAACACGAGTGGAAATTGGGAAAACGAGAAATTGTGTGGAAACACGACGCCTGCCCGAAGGGCGGAGTGTTTTCACCCAATTTCGAGTTTTCCCAATTTCCACGAGTGTTGATATAACTATATATCAATACGGAAAAAATTTTATATTTGTTTTATTATATAGCACAAAGAAACATAAAGAAAGAAACTTTCCGACGTTTCCGTCTTGACATTGAGTTATATCAACATGGCTCTTAGCCAATCAGCGTTCAGAATTGACAAATGCTATATTATAATGTATCATACTCAATCATTTTCTTGTAGATACCCTCCTAAAGTTCCATTCAGTAATTTCAATGACAATTCTCAACTCTCTGATGAAGAAAAGAAAGTTCTTCCTCGGTAGGTGGGATAAAAATAATTTTTGGTGGAAAACATCGGGTTTTCTCAAAGCACAACATAGCTAATCGTCAATTCGTATGTTTTTTATCTAGCCACATCAGTCAAATAGCGGAACTAAAGCATGAGAATTTTCATGCAGATTCCTGCACAATTTGTTATGAAAATAGGGCAAATGCTGTACTATTACCATGCCAACACAGGTAACTATGAACTATGGTCAGTTTTAGTACTACTCTACTTGTAGAAAGGTGTTTTGGAAATAGTTGTGAAGTATACCATTGTCTGGCTGAGCTACTGAAAACTTGTAATTGGAGACCAGGGGCCGGTTGTATAAAAACGTAGTTAGCGCTAACTGCAGTTAAAAAGTAGTTAAAAAGCCTTAAAAAATAGTTAACTTTAATCACGTAGTTAAGCCGGTTGTATAAAAGTGT